TATCAAAGAAGAATAATTCTTTTGAATTAAAAAAAAAGAACACTCTCTACCACATTGACTTTTATGATGGCAGGAACATTTGAGGAAAACAAGAAAATAGATTGTTCTATATCGAAATACTTTCAAAACCTCTAGGGCAGATACCAGTGTGACGGTGGGTAGCGTACAAACCAATTTTTGCCAGTGAGACTCAAGCCTTATAGATTCGTTTTTCTCTTATGAAGTTAACACATTTTGAAAAAATTCAAGATGCTTTTCAGCCTTGATGTTATCCTTCAGTGTTGAAGTTATCTCACACACTCGTTTTCAAGAAATGCAAACCATCTTGTGGTTAAAAAAAAAGTTTCTAAATTTGAAAAAAGTTTCTGAATTTTTGTTTTTGTTTTTCAATAATCATGATGGGATCTGTTCAGGGGGACATAGTCCGACATTGTTCATTTTGAGTATTCTTCAGAGTGGAATTGACATAAGAAGAAGCTAAATGGCTAGAAACGCAGGACAAAGCAGTGACAATGAATGCTGTTATGCCATTTGTGCAGAAAGAAAAAATGAGTGCCCATGTACTGTTGGAAAGGTTGTACCAGCACTGGCAACTTTGTTGATCTTGGAAACCTACTGTTTTCTAATCTGTGCTGGGTAACTTTGTAAGTTCCAGTAATATTTGCTGATTAATGTATCAGACTTTGTTCAAGATGTTCCTTGCTATTGATTTTGCATTAGTCAATAGTTTTTATTGATAAGCCACTGTGACCCGAGCAGGGTATTCTGGTCAGTGCTGCCTAAGACTGAAAGGGAAATACTCCATTTTATAAGCCCGGACATTGCAGCCAGACTGCCTCTCTTCAAATCCTGGTTCTCCTGCTTACTGGCTAGGTAAGAGTGTTGGACCTCTCTGGGCCTCAGTTTCCTCATTTATAAAACAGGGATAATAACAGAAACTACCTCAAAGGGCTATTGGGTGATTAAATGGGTTAATGCCAGTAAAGGGTTTGGAACAGGTACTAGCAGTTAGTAAACACCAATTGCTACTATTAAGGTAAATTGTAAAAAGTTTCATTTTAAGGGGCGTGGTAGATATGTGAGCTATTTACAAAAACAAAACAAAGTGACCACAAAGGAAATAATACTGATCAGAAATTAAGAGATGGGAGCCCTAACCCTAGTTCTATTATTGCTTTGATATCCTGTCTGATAAATGAATGTCACAATATTTGTCCCAATGCCCCATAGCTTCTTCCTAAATTTTTTAGCCAAAATTAATTGCCCCTTCTTGGACACTGCCTATGCTGTTGACTTGTATTTTTGCCATGACACTTAACACACTAAGTCTTGTAGTACAGTTAATTATAGATGTGCTTCTTTCTCCAACCAGATAAAGGTCTTGGTGGTGGAGACACTGTCTTACTCACATCTAAAAATCATTTAGCATTGTGACTTGAACATAATAGACGTGTAATAAGTGTTTATTAAAGAGGTCCCTGACAAATATAGCTTCCCATATAAACAGAATTACTATCATTACTATTATAACTACTACTATATGTAACTTTACAGGGTATAATTAAATGGGTTATTGGCCCGAATTCGAGAGGTAGAGTTGGGTGGGGTTTGAATGCAGCAACCCATACAGGGATTATTTATATAATATGTGGTTTGTGTATTTTTGTTTTCTCTCTGCATTATCCCTGCATGTTAAAATGAACACATTAGATACAGCAAGTATGATTCTAGCTTTTAATTGGGCCAGATGTGAAATAATCAATTATGGGTTTGCAAAAAGACTTCTAATCCTTCCATGTTGTTACCACATGATAAATGAGGCTTATGGAAATATCTACTTACGTTTTTGTCTAAATTCCAGCTAAAACTTGGGGATTTATTTATTTATTCATTTATTCTTTAAAAAATTCAATGTGTCTTTGCTACATGCTAGACACTGTGTGGGGAACTGTATCAGGGCAGTGGGGACCCACAGTATTTGAGTCTATTCTGTATGGACAAACAGGAATCTTCATTAAGAGGCAAACAAAATCAAACACCATAGTCTGATTGAACTTGAAAACACAGCTGGGGATCTTTGATCTTAGTTTAAACACTTAAAGTGATTTCCTCTTCTTAGAGTAATTGGATCTATGAGCATGATAAATGTGGTGCCCATCTTAGGGTATGTCCATTGCACTGATGGAAAATCTATATTTAAAATGCATGGGGCTCCCTCTTAGAGGACTTTTACCCTAAGACAAGGATATAAGGAAAAGAGTGGTTGCACCACTAAAAACTATGCTGAGAGCAGTCATTGTTTTCATGCCTGAATTTGGGCGAGTTGCCTAACCTTGTTAGGTCCCATCTGTAAAACTAGGATAATAACAAGCTGTTCCTAGATTCCCTCAGAGAATTAGATTTACAAACTCAGGAAGAAACTGCTGCCTTTTCAGTTCTGTGGCGAGGTCAATTTGATGTCCATAGACACTGTTAAAGATATATGCAAACATACAAATCAAAAAAAGTTATTTTTTCTCTTAAAGTTCAGGAAAATGACTTAGTGACCATAGTTCTGAAGTGTAAGCAATGAGAAGCAATAGAGAAATATGCATGTATTTATCTGGTTTGATTGTGTGATATATGGATGTTTCTCATCACTTTATGGTATTTCAAATGCATTGCTAAAGCAAAGTTCTTAATGAGATGTGCACTTTCATATTTCATAAGCCTCTGAAATCATATATTTTATTTAAAATAAAAATAACTTAAAGTGGAGCAACTATGCATGCAATTTCTTTCAAAGCATAAAGCTTTGCAAATTTGCATCAAAATAAAAAATCAAGACTGCTTAATTAAAACCTTGACACCATCAACCTCTTTAATTACGTGTTAAAGAGACAGGCTTCCTGGGGATACCAAGTTAAAATCTGTGTACATTCTGGTCCTCTCTGGTGTGTGTACATGAGTAGCTCACAGAAGGGAAGAAAAAAAGAGATGCTTTAATAGAAAGGAAAAGAAATTGTTTAAAATTTCTCTGGACATGAGTCATTTCATACTTTTTAAAACAGTTGTGAAGAGGGCAAATTTGTCTTTTCAGAAGAAGAATGAAGAAAAGAAATTTAGGGAAGAATGTGTCATCTTTATTCTATGTCTAAATTTCAATGAACACTTACTTTTTAAACACTTATGTTTTATTTAATAATTGTGACTTAGAAGACACAGTTCTAAGACTTGACTACTGGTTGCTTGGCTGTATTCGGTAGACCGCAGTGAGTAAATGGGGGAGGAGCGGGCTGTTTATTTCACTGCTTCTCTAGAGTATATAAATGTTGTAGTGAAATGACTGCTTTTCTTTACTTCTGAATTCTTGCTGTCTTCACTATTCTGTGTCTCTTCCCAATTTCTTTTGCTAATGGGGAAGCCAGCAGCTCTTTGTTCTCATTGTGTCTGTTGTCTCCCTTTCTTTGTGTTGCAGGGTTCCTGCTACCGCATCTGCCACTGAGCATGCGGAAAAATCCTTCAATAGATTCTTTACTTAGGACTTTCAGGAGTATTATTCCACTTCTCCAGGTTTTAGTAGTCACCAGGATATCCAGAAGATAGACCGAAACTTGGAAAGGTGATACAGGTGGTTCAGTGGTGGTCTAGCAAGCGGCACTCCAGATAGGAAGGGTCTGAGTAGTTATCACACATACTTCTCCAATTTATGGAAGCCTTCACCACGCAAGTTAAACGCAGATCACCCACCCTACAGGCAGAAGCCACAGATATTGATTGATAACTGAGAAGACACAAGTGTTTCAGAGCAGGAGGGCACACAGCCAAATCTAAAACCAATGATACAATGTCATGCAGTTACAGAGGGATGTGGAACATTGCCACAATGATCAGTATGCAAAGTCCTGGAGCAGGAACTCTCACCAGATAGCCTATCATCTGAGGATGAGAACCAGTTGTGTGGACTTTTCTCATAATAAAATCTTAGACTTTTTCCCGATTGTGTTAAATACTTGGTATGCTAGGTCAATACTGATTGATGGAAACTGAATTCCATTCTTCTGCCTAAAAGCTTCCCCGCTCCCCTCTCCCGGGCAGATTTGCCAGTGGTTTCCAAAAGATATAAAAAGAGCAGCCTTGCAGGTGAGTTTAGGGATATTGGGATAGAGTTCGAAGGTTTTCTTTTTCTCATTTTTTTTCTCTGTCCCCTTCCACCCCGTAAGTGTGACCTAACAGCTTGTCAATTATTAAAGAGATGAAGCGCTATACAATTTTATTCAGGTTTCGCCTATAATGATTTTTGCTTGTTTTGTTCAAGGCTCGATGGCCAGCTTTTAGAATCGTGTCCGAAACAGTTAAGTGCTCAAATATCTTTTGTCTTGATAAACGTAAGAATATACATAGTATGGAAAATGCTCTTGCCTTATTATGACAAACACTGGTGGTAACAGAATAATTTGAATTCGACTCTTAGAATAAACTAAACACTTGGCTCTTCAGCAGCGGGCCACTCTCAGGATTTCTTCTTTCTCCTTGCCCTCCTCTCCCACCATTTTGTCTCTGTGTTACCAATTAGTGGATTAATAGCATGGTCTCCAAGTCTTTCTGTTCCACTTTCTCATTTTCCAGCCCTTAGGATAACGTTCTGGTTCCTCAGCCAGTGGCTAGTGGCTAAGGTCATTGAGCACAAGCTCCTGGACCATAGCAAACGAGAGGGCGCGGCGTGCACTCCTCCAGGGCAGACACCTGCAGCGGCTTTTTTGGAACAGGCTCTGAGAGCAGCACAGTTTACTCTCCCCGCAGCTGCGGAAGCGCCTGTGGCGGGAAAGTTCAGGCCAGGTCCAATCAGGCACCTAGGGCTAGGTAGCGCGGGCGGCGGCCCCAGGACCCAAACCTCCGCTGCCTGCCCCGCCCTCTCGAGTTCCTCTTTCCCCGCGGCAGGTCCTCCATCGGCCCCGCCCACCCGGCATCGCCCCGCCCCGCCCCGGGGCCGCGGCTAAAACCCGGAGCCGCCGCGGCGCCCAGGGGACTGGAGGGACGCTCTGAGCATGTGCAGAGCTGTTTGGCGGCGGCTGCCTGGGCCAGAGGCTGGGGCCCGGTGCTGATGCCAACAGCCGGCTCGGCCTCTGTCCCAGCGTGGTCGGCGCCCCGGGCCCGGGTGGCAGGGAAGGAGCCATAGTCTCTCCGCGGCTGGAGGAGCGGGCGCGGCGGCGCGCACCACCCCGGCGGCCGCGGAGCCTTCGGGGCCCACGATGATGGCGGAGCAGGTGAAATGCGCCTCGGCAGGGGGCGGCTCCGGAGCGGGCTCCGGGCCGGTGGTGAACGCGGAGCTGGAGGTGAAGAAGCTGCAGGAGCTAGTGCGCAAGCTGGAGAAGCAGAACGAGCAGCTGCGGAGCCGGGCGGCCAGCGCGGCCGCCGCCCCGCACCTGCTGCTACTGCCGCCGCCGCCGCCCGCCGCGCCGCCCCCCGCCGGGGCCTGCAGCCCGTTGGGTCCGCGGAGCCCCCCGGCCGCCGCCGCCGCCGCCTCGGGGGGTCTGGGGCTCGGGCTGGCGTTGGGCGGCGGCGGCGGCGGCAGCGGCAGCTCCAGCTCCAGCTCCAGCCCCGCGTTCTCGGGGACCTACTGCCTGCCCAGCCCGGCGCCCTCCCTGCTCTGCAGCCTGGCGCAGCCCCCCGAGGCGCCCTTCGTCTACTTCAAGCCGGCGGCGGGCTTCTTCGGCGCGGGCGGCGGCGGGCCGGAGCCGGGGGGCGCGGGGACGCCGCCGGGGGGAGCCGCCGCGCCGCCCTCGCCGCCCCCCACGCTGCTGGACGAGGTGGAGCCGCTGGACCTGGAGAGCGTAGCCGCCTGGCGGGACGAGGACGACTACACCTGGTATTGCCCGGCTCCGCTCCTTCCCCCGGAACCCCGGCCTCGGAGGCCCCGGGACGGCGGGGAGGGCGTGGGCCGGGGAGGAGACGGGGACCTCGTCCTTGCCCCCGGACGTGGTGGCCTGGCAGGTGCCCAACTGGGCGAGGAGCGGAGGCTTTTCACGGGGGCGGAAACCTGTTTCTCAAAGCTCAGGCTGAGCCAGCTGGGGATGAATGGGTCCCCTCCATCTCCCTGTCTTCTGCTCTGCGCTGATGACTCGGTCCCCAGCTCCCTGTTAGCATTAACTGAAAAATCCGTGCCATCTTTTTGTTACTCAGTCCTGCCTTCCCCCAGTCATTTTTGGGAGTAGCGGGGGATGGGTAGGGGTTGACCTCAGTCTGCGACTGTTCCTGGGCTTTCCTCCCAAACGAACGCGGGGCAGGATTTGCGTGCTCTGCGGTCTCGTCCCGTGGCGTCCCAAGCCGCCCCGTGGTGGGTCTCTCCTTAGAGATTCGTGCTTGCAGTTGGACTTGTGCCGTCGCGTGTCCTCATGCGCTGCATTTTCGTTGATAGCGTCTCGTTTCAAAGACTGACTTGCTTTTTGAAATATGCTGCCCTCACGGGCTTTCCTGTCAGTAATGGTGTCAAAAACGAGGGCTTTTTCCGGGAATGGAGTGGGCAGCATGAAAGTACTGTTACTTAGAAATCAAGGACCTTTCTTTAATTTTTAAAACTGAACCGTTGATTGAAGAAAAGTGAGAAGCAACTTATTTTTTTAGAAACCGTGAGTTGGTTATCAGAAGACTTGTGGTTGGCAGCATCTTTTCATTTGAAATCTGGCTAGCTCTGTTTTCCATCAATGAGTAACTTTGGGGGGGGGGTCTGAGTCCCTTATTTTATTTTTCATGCTGCTTTCTCATGGGGTAAGTCCTTTCATGACTGACTTCTGGTTGGTTCGTTTGCTTTCCTCCATCAAGAGAGGTAGTGGGGACATGGTAAGATGAGTTGAAGCCTCAGAGGAGGTCAGAGTTAAGTTCCTGCAGGGAAAATGAACAGCTTTCACCTTTCCGTAGCTGCGGCATGAAGGACAGTTGTCCTTTTACCTTGGGTCCTTCTACTTCTGACCCTTCCTGTTTTTTGCAAGCTGGGTTTTCCTTACTTTCTCTGTGGTCCTGTTGCATGATCCCACAGAGGGAATGAGACATGGAGAACCCTACCGGTTTTCCCGTTGAGACCTGTGGTGTTCCCTTATACTCTCAGATCTCTCCTTGGTAACGTGCATTAACTAGTTGGCCTGTTTCGGAGAATCAAAATGGATGGAGCTACAATAAAGCATCCTTCTCTTCTTCCTCCTTCGTGCTCCACCTGTGGGCAACTGTGCTGGTTGCTCAAGTTGTAAAGATCAGAACAACTCACCACTCTGCGTAGCTTTGAGCCATTCTTTAGAAAGGACACCTTTGTGTTTGTGGAGCCCAAGCTGTGTTGTAAACTGAGTTTCAACCTGAGCATGGTACTAGAAAGTGCTCTCATGGCGGTTTTTAGGTTATAATCACTATAAGCCCTTATGCTACTTTCAAATTATGTTACCTTGATTTAGGGCTCACTTGGCCTTTTCTGGAGATACGTGGATGGTAGAAGGCAACTTATTTGTATTTTTGATGGGCATCAATCCTATCCATTAAAAATGTTAGCATTTTTAAACCTGTGATATACTTATGATTTTATAAGTGTATTCAATTGGGGTGGTATATACATAGCTAATAGAATTGTAATTTTTTTTTCCATTGAATGGACTTCTACCTATTTAGTTATCATCCAGCTACTGCTAGAATTTTGATATGCAGGCTTTTCATAGTTTATTTTTTGTCAAAATAGTATTGGAATAACTTTGGGGGAAAAATGACCTGCTTAATGGAATTACTCTATTAGCACTTGAGATGGTTTGAAGTGGATGTAAAGTATAGCAGGTTCTACTAATTTCACTCATCAAATATTCAGGGGAGTACATAAATCAATACTCCGACACTTTATGGATGTTTCCACAGTCAAGCGGCACACTGTTTTACAGCATGTCTTTCTCAGAAGAAATTTAGGACTAGAATCCCATGTGGAAAATGGAGGGATAATTACTCTTTGGTGGAATGTAATTAAAACATTTTTAAGGTCACCTGATTTATAGAAAACTTTCTGTCCTGACACCTTATACATTAAAATATTTTTGTATTACATTATCTTGGCCTATTGATGAACAAATAGCAGGCCTGATTCTCCATGTTGAACCTACTTGTTAATGCTGATGATGTTCCTTCATCGCTGTAAACTGTGTACGTCCCTGTCCTGTCGTCTCACAAACAGGGTGTTTTTCATTTGGATTGCCTCATATGTTTGCAGGGAGACAACTTACCTTTATTTCCCCTGTTAGGAAACAGCTCTAGTGGATAATAAGTACCTGATTATTCTAAAAATACTTAAAAATAGTTTTACATTTTCACCGTGGAAGAAAAAAGCCCTCACAGATGTATGAAGTCACAGGAATCTTTCCTCTTGTCCTGAATTCATTACCATGATTCAGAGTTTAACTGTTAACATTCTGCAGATCCTTCAAGATACAAACATAATTATCCAAATCCTTAAATGCACATCAGTTTTTTTAAAACTACCTTTCATTGAACCTATCTTGGACACATTTGTTTCCCTATAACAGCTGCATCATTGTAAAAGTAACCATATTTATTAAGGACCAATGTACTGTTGACTGTCTCCCCTATAATTTTTCATGCATTTTTATCATGATTTCATCCTAATGACTTAAAATTGATATTTGATTATTTAGAACAGTATTTCCCGCAAGGTGTCTTGTCTTCAGGAAAGAAAGTTCACAGATGTAGATGAATCTTTGAATGTTTTAGAAGTTCTTTCATGTAAGTCCCATTTTTTTCTAATAAAATCTTATACTGTAACTCTTCACCTTTTATTAACAACCTGACAATGCTTGGCTCAAGAATTATGTGTAGAAGGAAAACCGTTAATTGTAGAATCAGTATTTGCTTGATGATAGTTCATTAGTTAATGGTCAATCAGGTCTCTTAGGTCTTTTTTCCAATTATTTAACCTACAAGTATCTTCTGTTTATAAAAAAACAAAACTGTGTGAGAAGGATAGTGTGTTCTCCTTTTCATTTTGATGAAAATCTTTGAAATAAAACAGTTGTCTCATTTCTTCAAATATTTATCTCAGTTGATTTTAAATTATTTTTTCTTTAATCTTAGCATAGGGCTGCTAGAAGTAAATGTCTCAGGAAATTAGATTGTGGTTCCAGGACCTTAATTTTTTTTTTTTTTTTTTTTTTTAAAGACTTATTTTAGAGAGAGTGAAAGCACATGAGCCGGGAGAAGAGCAGAGGGAGAATCTCAAGCAGACCCCCTGCTGAGCACAGAGCCCCACTCTGGGCTTGATCCCACAACCCTGAGGTCATGACTTGAGCCAAAATCAAGAGTCAGACGCTTAACTGACTGAGCCACCCAGGTGCCCCCTAGAACCTTAATTCTTAAGTCCAATTGTTATAATCCCATAGTAAACTTCACGTCCTGCTACATGGGTTCTTCAGGGATCGCTACTAATTTGACAGCCTTAGCTCTCCAGAAAAACATAGGCTAGAAGGGGGAGGGGCCTCTGAATTTCAGGAGCAAATTAAGCTCCAAGGATGGTGACTTTGATGCATACTTGGAACATGTGCCTGGATGATTTGCCAGTGTGTATGGAAGGACGTTTTCAAAATCACTGTCCCATGTCACCAAGCTGAGAAGCAGCAGGGTATCAGGAAAAGAGAGCGGATTGGTGTGAAGTGGCCAGAGGAGCAGTAAGTTGTTAACTTCACTCTAGACCTTTCCATGACCTATTTCAGCTCCCCTATTTCCTGACTGAGGGACTGAAGTGTGCGGTGAAATGACTTAAAAAGCTCCTCCAGTTATTTACTGAAAGGTTAAAACCACAGTTCAGGTGGTTGAGACCGATTCCAAAGTGTGTACAGCATGGCTGTTCTTCCCGAGCTTGGTTGTGACCATCAGCATGTCATAAGGTCAGCTTAGTGGCTTGACTGGCATTTCTTCTTTAAAAAATGAAGAGCAGTAGAATATAAAATCAGAAGGCAGCATATCTTGTGATACAAATTTGTATCGATTGAACTTGTTTCAGTTTTACATGTGTGTGCCCTGGGCCGAAATAGTAAATATATTTGTGCGTTAAGGTCACAGTTAGAAAAACTCCATTTTACACCATTTGAAAGCAAAATGGTGTTGAAGAAAGCAGGTAGAAAAGCCCAGCTCTCTGAAGAGAGGGTAGCACCAGGGAAAGTCAGGTCTTGCGCACCTCAGTCAGGAAGAGAAGTCTATATTCAGAAAATGTCAAGATAATGATATCCCAGCTAACAGAAAATACAGTCCTGTAGGGCCTTTATTTTAGTGGAGTGGCAATTAGAAGAATATTGAAACTTATGTAAAAGGGACGTGGCAGAGATTTTAAAGTTGCCCAATGGAAAGGACAGGAAAAAAGTCATAATTATAAAAGGGGGAAAGAGGGCTATGTACAAATCATGGAAAATTTAATGAACGAGCTATTCATTTTTCGAGTGTAACACCACGACCCTAGACAGCTGGCTAAAATCCTTGCCAATTCTCCATCAAAGCTGCTGAACACCTTGTACTGTCCATATGGCACAGCTGAATTAGACCACCTGAACTGGTCTTTTTTTTTTCCCCCCATAATTGATTTTCAGTGAAAAGACCAGAGGGTGCTTCACTTTCTGACAATGCTAATTGAAAACCGCAGTGTTTTCTAGAGGCAAACGGAGTCGAGTGAAGTGGGTGCTGAGGTTTTTGAAACCCTGCAGTGAGACACCAAAATAGAATCCAGCTCTAACTGTGGAGGGACAGGGGTAGAGTCTGCTGTAGGGCAATTCCGTAACTCCCATTGGGCTTCGTGTGTCCTTTTAATAGCTTAGTGGTGGTGAATTTGCTTTGCGGTGG